GATGTGGCACTGAGATGAATGCCACATGCTAAAGATGTTCAAAAAGATAAAAGAACTCAGCTCTCTACTGACCTGGTAGCGCTCCCCTCCAGAATTCTTTTTATTGTTATAGAAATAAGCTTCTATCTTGCTGAAGCCAAACACACCTCCTGACTGCTAGACCTACTCTCCACCTTAAGGGTGTCTCACTTCCAAGTCCATCCCAACATTGGCCCACCTTAGGCCAAGAGTACAGGTGGAGGCTCCCAGCCTGGCCTGCCTCCTTCTCTTACCACCTCTAGCTCTATCCACTCTTGTGGATATCTAAGCTCACACTTTTGAGCTTGATTCTCCAGACTAATCCTGTTCTCTGGCCACCCTTCAGGCCTAGAGTGCACACATACTTCCTGCCAGGAAGACAGAACCTAGGGAGAGACTGGGGTAGGTTCCAGAAGTGAGCTCAGGACCACCTGGGCAAGGAACTCTAAGATCCTAGGAACCCAGCTATGGTCTAGAAATCAGAGAAGATTCCAGGTGCATGCTCCTTTAGTCCTGTGATCTTCACAACCTATGAGAAGAAGCTCATCCATTTAAGGTACAAGACCCAGGGCAGGGGCACTAGTTACCAAGGTCTAAAGGTGATGCTATTTGCTTCTCTCCCTTTTACCTCCTGATGCTCGTCGTTCACAACTTGATAATACAGCAAATCGAGAAGTAGCCTCCTTAGCAGCTTGTTATATCTGGGAAAATCGTCTTTTAGGGGAAAAGTCTGGGACTACAGCTTAAACTGTGTTATTTTCCTGTTACTCTTAATGCTGGTACTATTTTCTTTCATTAGACCATATAATGGAAAGTCAATTAAGCCTGGCTTTCTGCCATGCCTGTCTGTGGCAAGTTGTCATTAGGATGGCTAAGCACAAGTTTATCAATCAACTGCAATGTCTGTGCTTGTGTCCTGAGTGGACTTGAGGAGCCCCTCCGAGTCCTGGGTCTTGATCATTTGTGCAGTCTTGTGGATGAGGAGACTCTCCAAGAGGCACTTAGCTGGATCTGTTTGCGCCCTGTGAGGGCAGAGAGTCCGCTACAAAGTCTGAACATCCAACCTCAAAAAGGGACAGCTGCCCTCCAAGAACCAGATAGGAGCAGGTGGGAATTTGGCAGGAGAGGAACTCTATAAGGTACCTCGCTGAAATCACTCTGGACCGTGCCCCAAATGCAGGTGGGCACCTTTCTCTGTTACTTAGGAAGCCCTCCACTCAGCCCAGGGGAACAAGGACTGAGATCTGATGTGACAGTGATGCTAACAAGAAGATGCTCCCCTCCAGCTCCCACCCATCACACAATGACTTCAGTTCCTGTAAGGAACCTGTCTCTTCCACATGGTCTGACTGACAGAACCAGTAAAACTGGCTTTGTGAACGGGGAAAAAAAAAAACAATTGCAGTGCTTTGTGCTTCTTGGAAGCTTTCTTCATTGAGTTTAGCGATTCTACACCTTATTTTGTATCATGGATCTCTATGTTGGATAAGTACCAAAGGCCATGAGTGCTTCTAAGTATAACTAAAAACTGCTGTATGCCTTTCAAGCAGTGAGATGCAATTGAAAGAACATCGAACAAATAATCTGAGATGCAGGTATGTCTAGCCCCAGCTTTCTATCTACATTTTATTAGTTTTCTCATAGGATGTTGTTGTTGTTGTTGTTGTTGTGTGTGTGTGTGTGTGTGTGTGTATAATTTTCTATGTATTATGATGTTTTGACATGTTAAAAATCTTTCTATTTGGGGGGAGACTGCCTTTCCTGAGGCTAGCCAATCCTAAGGGACAGCTATGGTCCTAGCCTGGAGCTGATCCCTTCAATGTACAAATCAGAGCCAGGCCTCCTCAGTCTGACCCAGGAACTCAAGGAGCCAGTCTTCCTCCACCTTAATGATTTCAGGCAACCAGGGACCACTCATATAGCTTAGAGTTATATGAGTGGAAGTTACCCAGACCACCCAATCTTGAACTGTTCCTTGTCTTTCCCCAGGAAACCACAATAAAAGCTTAACTCTGTTTCCCCCGGCTTCTGCTTGCTGCTTTCTGACCACACTGAGGCCTCCCCATGTCACCCCTGTGTACTATGCCAAGCCTCTTTTTCCAAGTACCAGTAAATGTAATGTGATTTGTTTTACTGGGCCTCTCCTGTGTCTCCTTTTGATTTTGTACCTGACTGATCATCATATAAAAAATACACAAAACAGGAAAAAGAGAGGGCATGGGTTAATGATTTATGAGCTCCCTTCTGGTGCTCTATGGTTCAGTACAGTGGTTCAGTATAGCTCTATGAAATGGCAAGCATGCTAAACAGCCTTTGCCCCATCTTCCCCTGACCACCTCCTCATCTTCCAACTAGCTCAGAGGCTAGTTGCTCCCACAAGGCTGTCCCTCCCCTCCTGTCCCCTGCAGTTATGTTCCCAGGGTGTCCTGTACTATTCTGCAGGCTTCCTCTTACTAGGGTATAATTATAATTAATCTGTGGATTTCCTGCTCCTCTGTGAATTCTGGGAGGACAGAGGCCAATCTTCTTGTAAAATATATATATATTTTTAGTTGTAGATGAATACAATACTTTTTATTATTATTTTTTTATGCGTTGCTGAGGATCAAACCCAGTGTCTCATATATGTGAGGCAAGTGCTCCACCACTGAACTATATCCCAGCACAACAGAAGTCAATATTTAGAGCTTTTTCCTCAGCATCAATGCCCAGCAGGGAGCTCCAGGGCCTCTGTGAAACAAAGATGTGAAGGATCATTTCTGATGGGTGCACCTCCCTTTGGTCACCTGACTGGCGGTGGAAGATGTTCTCAGGTAACTATTTAGGGAACTTGCTGAAATAGCCTTTGTTCTTCAGCCTGCATTTAGAAACAGTCTTTGGACCTATATACCACCAGTCCACACATAATGAATCAGATGTCAGCATTTTTTTTTTAAAGGGAAAAGATGAAGAAAAAAAATTTCTATTTTTATGATTTAGGAAACCCAGACTATTATATCCGGCTCAGTTCTCATTAATAAAACAAGAGAGCCTTGCCTTCTCATTTGAGTTCTTCAGATTAATCTGATTGTCCCAAAGCATTACTAATTATATAGCAACATCATTTATTTCACAGAATTGGAAATGACATACATATCCAACACAGTGACGGTTGAATAAACTATGACATGCTTGACTGATGGATTCTCCTGCAGGCTTTGACAACAGTGTCCACAATATAATCTGAAGTTAAAAGTGAGACATAAAATCATATGCAGTGTGACTGCCATCATGCCAAATATATCAAATATATGTGTAAAAAATTAAAGGAGACACTACAGAATATTTATAGTGGCTGTGTTTATGGACTCTGGATAATTTTTTCTATTTCTCTGAATTTTTTAGCTTTTTCTCTAATGACCTTTAAGATTTTACTCTCATGGTGAAAAACCAAAATCAACAAATCATTTAATTACTGATTGAAACTGCTCTAAATCTTTTGGCTGTCGATCCTGGGTGTGTCTGCTTGAAAGAGCTGTGTTGATGCACAGGGAAGACCCCTGGTGAAACCAACAGAAGCAGAGAAGGAAACCTGAGGGACCCTCCAGAGCAGCAGGTGCCTGTGCAGGAACCATCATCAGACACTGTCTGTGCTTTTATTTTTGTAAATCTTCATAAAAGTTGCAGGAGATTAAGTATGCCTGTCACTCCCATTTGGTGGTAGTGAGGAGGGTTACTGGGGATTGAACCAGGGGCACTTTATGACTGAGCCACATTTCCAGCCCTTTTTAGTTTTTATTTTGTGACAAGGCCTTGCTAAATTGCTGAGGTGAGCCTTGAACTTGTGATCCTCCTGCCTAAGCCTCAGGGTCTCTGAGATTACAGAAGTGTACCACAAGGCCCAGCCTGTTACTCCCATTTTATAGATGAACCTGAGACTCAGTGTTAATACATTTGCTGGGAAGTGGGGAGTACAGTTTGATCCAAGGCAGTCCACCTCCACCGTCTGCCATTTCCTCTCTACCCTCCCTCCAGCACAAGAGGAGAGAGTGCTGGGAAAACAAGCACATTCTGGACTACTCTTACTTTCATGCAAGGATACTTGTGTCGGACAAAGGCACAGCCTCTATTTCCATTTTCAGCCTGAACAAATTCCATACGGATGAGTCCTCAGAAGACACCGATCTTTCAGTGGAGATGGTCTCTGTAAACACCATCTTATCACAAAGCTCTGAGCACAGCATGGTCCAAAAGTTGTCCTCTTTTTTTACACATAAATGCATTGCTTTAGAGGCCATATAGGCTCATTTATTAAATAGTCTCAGCATGGCCAACCTTGTAGACCCAGACCAACATGGATAGAGTACATTCCAACTTTCCAGCTGAGAGGTGAACAACAGGTGCCTCTGTACTTGCCAGAGCAATTACAGTCATGTGCTTGTTCAAAGTAGTCACCCTACAAATACAAACCAACTGAATATACTTGGCTCACACCATTGGGGCACACAGCTGCTTTGAGGCTCCCTGTTATGAAGTCTTATTTTCTCAGCACAGAAACCTACTAGTGAAAAGTCTTTGTGAGTGGAGGGAAGGGGAGAAAACTTCAGGAGAACAGAGCAGGACACCTGGAGAGAATCTGTCCTGTTGGAGTCAAGACTGTCAGTAAAATAAAGTAAACTCTGCCTTCATCCACTCCCTGGAATCTTTCAATGCGGAAGAGAGGAAAACAGAAACAGGTCTCAGAAAATCAGCCCTGCAAGATTAGCCTGGAGGAAGGGATCCCTGGGGCTTCATATAAATCCATTATAAATGAAATTCATAATTCCAAATAAACTTTCTAACAGGGAGAACTTAATGAGCAAAAGGAAATTAATAAATAGAGGTAAATCCTAAAAATAAGACCCAATCATTAGGAAAATGCTTGAGAAGAATGCTATCCAGGTATTATTGTGCTCTCTTTACCTGGCCCCTGAGGGACACCTCTGTGATGTGCATTCACTTACTTTCTCTGGAACTGGACCACAGGATCAGCAAGCAGGTCAGAGACGTCAAGCTTTCTCCCCTTCTCAATGACATCTGGATGCTTGCGAACCAACAGCCACCCGATGTGGGAGAAGAAGAAGCCTCTGCGGGCATTGTGAGGGTCAGCATCTGTCTCCGAGTACTTGTGGTGGGCTCGGTGGTCCCTGGCCCACTCGAAGATGTCATTCTGCAGAGAGAATGCAGAGCCCGAGTGAAGGGACTGAATGCCCGGGTGCTTCCTGGGAAGCTGCTCGGCCTCCTGGTCCTGAGGCTCATTTCCACTCTCCTCCCATCTTCTCCCCACAGTCCCTCCACCTCAAGTTCAATCCTGCAGGGTGGTCTGGGTGGGTTTCATCAGAACAAGAGTAAATCCTCACTCAGAGGGAACCTCAGCTTGTGTGTGAGATGTGCCCATTGCAGAAGGGTTCAGATTTGTTGGGTGAACTAGAGGGGAGACCTGGAAAAAAGTTCTGGGAGCTACTGAAGCCTCCTAAGAGATAACCTATGTAAAGAAAGAGAGATCCCATCTTCAGATGAGGTTATCAGAGGAGAGGGTTGACCTTGAGTGTGAAAGGGGTGTTGTTTCTTACACAGAACTCTCTGCCTGCCTCCCCCACTTCAATGGCCTTCTAGTGAGATGCCAGAAAGTAAAAACCCCAAAGAGGTACTTCTCCAAACCCCAGCAAAATACCAAGGCACAAATGACTTTGTTTTAGGACTATTCTAACACATGTAACAGAAAGAGAGGGGAGGCGACTTTGGCTCTGTGAGGCAGTACTCACCAGTGCTTCTCTACTTGGCAAGGACAGGACAGCACTCACCCAAGCTCATGGAACCCAAGAAAGGAGAGGCACCAGAGCTGGGGTGGGGCACTCACCCTACTGACCCTCTAGTGATGGGAAACTCAGGGAGGCTATTAGGGGGCTGGAGGTCCTGGGTGAATCATCAAGGGCAAGAATGGATGCATTTAGGCTGTTCTAATTAAAGAGACCTTATCTATAGTCATGGGTCTGTGAGAGCTACAGGCTTTCAACTTAAACTCAGTTTTTCCATTTTTTTAAAAATAGTTTTTTTAGTTGTAGTTGGACACAAAACCTTTATTTTATTTATTTATTTTTATGTGGTGCTGAGGATAGAACCCAGTGCTTCACACATGCTAGGTGAGTGCTCTGCCACTGAGCCACAACTACAGCCCTAGTTTTTCCAGTTTTTAAAAGTCTACAAAGCTTTAGCCAGGCATGGTAGTGAACACCTATAATCCCAACAGCTCAGGAGGCTGAGGCAGGAGGATCGAGAGTTCAAAGCCAGCCTCAGCAACTTAGCGAGGCCCTAAGCAACTTAGCAAAACTCTGACTCTAAATAAATATTTTAAAAGGCTGGGGATGTGGCTCGTGGTTAAGCATTCGTGGGTTCAACCCCGAATACTGCCCTTTTTCCCTGACCAAAAATTAAAAAAAAAAATCTATAATGCTTTAAAAATTTGAAAGGCAATATGATCGAGAAGTACTATCTTTGAAAGGAAATCAATCTGAAAATAGAAATTTATATAGTATATTAGCCTTTTCTTCTTATGAAAATGGTAGAAATATCTTATACCAAAATATTCAATACTTGGTAATGTTCTTAGTAGGACTCTTCCATTTCATAGATTATTGGCTTCATGCTGTTGATAAAAAAGGAAGTAATTGCTTCATTTTCAAAGTTCCAACATCTCTTTTAATCCAAAGGAGGTTCCTGAGTGTTTGGTGTCTCAGGCTCACCCAATGCTACTAGACGGCTACTCAACTCACTCATCCCACAGCATCAATGAAAATGTTTTAAAGTTGTTTATCCCTTGAGTAATGGGAGAAACAGAGACAGAGACAGGGACAGGCAGTAGAGAATCCATAGGACGTATATGCTCAGCTTTGAATATGAAGAAAGAAAAGGAATGCCTAGAAGTCTGTGTTATGCAAAATTCATGGCCTGGCATACTATAATATATAAAGAGGTCTTTAGATTTTTGCCAGTGTATTTAAACACAGTAGCTGGGAAAAGTGAGAGCACTTTATTATTTATAATCACATTGAGTTGGGAAATAATTTCAAATGCCAATCCAATTACTACAACCTAACATAATTTATTCCTTTTGCATTAGCTTATTGCTTTTATTGCAGTGCCCATCTGAGAATGACATAGGAAGAAAGGAGAACACTCTGTCCCCCTTCACAGATGGAAAAGCTAAGGTTTTCATCTAGTAAGTAAAAACAACAATGGAGCAAAGGTATCACTTGTCCAGTTCTCAGTTCAGCTTCCTGTCAATAAGACCTTGCCCTTATACTTCAAGTGTAGGGGCAAAAGTCTTTTGAAGAGCACTCTCATTTTTCTTGTTAAAAGGTTATCTCAGCTGTTTAATTTCATTCCATGCAAGTTTATAGAAACCGTAAGTGAGGAGTTCCAATAGGCATTATTCTCACAAAATTAAACATTATGCAGAAACAAAACTAAACAACAACAAAAAAAAGCATGAGGATGACAAGTTGAAACAGAGGATTTATTTTAATTCCTTTTGCATGGATAGCTTCCTGTCAGAAGCCACTTGACTGGAATATGGAAGGAAGCCAGGGCTGTGGCCATAGTCCAAAGAATCAAGCACACAACTGAGCCCCAAATACTTGAAGGTATATTTTTGTAGTCCTTTGTTATTGTTTTGTTTTAAACTATAAAGCTGCATCCAGTGGAAAAAGAACAAGATGTGAGTCAACAACAGGACAGAAATATAGCAGGATTCATACACTGGACCCACAGACCTTTTTCTTCCAATTTATCTGCATTTTGCTTCTGCTCTGGAGTGACAGGGAGTGAGCGCGTGGGTGGAGGAGGAGCCTGCCTGTGAGCAGCTGTGTGTACCTATGGTGCTTAGTACAGTCACTGTGTGCTTTTGAGACAAGGAAAAGGGAAAGCAGAGTACAAAGGAGGAAGGGGGGGGTGGGCAAACAACCTTGGGAAACGGGGAGAGCCCTGTACCGGAAGCCAAGGTCTAGGCCCAGCCATATCCAGATAATCTCTCTCCTCCCTCTCTGTGTTTACATAGTGCTGATCATGTTGGTCTAAAACTCTGTGTGTCATCTTGTCACCCTTGCTTCACAGAAAAGTGAAAAAGAATCCAGCACAGAGAGCTGACAAATGCCCATGGAAGCACTGTCGGTCCATCCGTATTCCATCCATGCCTGTGAGCACAATGTCATAGGGGCATGGGGTTGAACCCTGCAGCAATTCCAGAAGCCTCACATTCTGACAAATTATTAAATTTGCAACTTAGAGTTTATACTTAATGACAGGTTCTGGTAGATAACAGTCTTCACTAAGCAATCCCATTGCCTTCAAAAGCAGACACTTGCCATTTGTTTGTCGATCATTCCTGAGAAATAATTGGAGGCTGAAGGGACCTACATTAGTTCTAAGAGCCCTGGGCATAGCAGAGGCACAGGCAGGAAGGCATTTTTCACTTGTAGCATGCCTCAATTTGGACTGGCTGAATTTCAAGTATTCAGTAACCACATATAGCTAGTAGCCAGCACACTGGAACTCATGGCTTGAAGTGTCTTATACTTTAGTTTTTAAGAATTCAGTCCTGCCTACTGTTGAGAATGGGAAATTGGCCCAAACCTTATGAAGAGCAAATGGGCAGGCAGCACACATCAGAAGGCTTTGAATTCTATGGAAGTTATCTTAAGAAAATAATCATGGTTGTGTGCAAAGATTTAACCACAGAGATATTCACTGTGGTGAACATTTGGGAAAGCCCCAAATTTCCACATAACAGAATTTCATTGAATATCTTGTGATATAGTAATTAATTAAATGCTACTTGTGTTTATGTGAGCATGAGAGAGTATACATAAAAAGTTTATCTGTACGTAGAAAATTTCTACAAAGAAATAAAAAAAGTCTTAGAGTTGCTTCAGTGGAGATAAGTTGAGGGGTAAGGATGAGAACAAATTACTTTATGCTTTTTCTTTCTTTTTTTAAAATATTTTTTTCGTTGTAGTTGGACACAATATCTTTATTTTATTTATTTATTTTTATATGGTGCTGAGGATCAAACCCAGGGCCTCTCATGTGCTAGGCAAGCGCTCTACTACTGAACCATAATCCCAGCCCCATATGCTTTTTCTTATACTCTGAAATTATTTAAAAAGAGCATCAATTAGTTCTGTAGTGAAAAAAAAAAACAATTAACAAAAAAGGATGTTATGAACTGACATAGAATGATGAAACAGAAAGTGGTTCTGTAGAAAGTAGTTTTCAAGCCTTACAGATGTAGAGAATGTGGTAAGGCCTGCAGTCATTCCTAGGTCATTGAAAGATATAGAAGAACTCATTTTTGAGAAGACACTGTAAGTACATGGAAAGCAGGGGTGTCTGCCTTTTCCTTTTTCCTTTTCTTTTCTTTTTTAATTTTTTTTTTCATTGTAGATGGACACAACACCTTTGTTTTATTTATTTTTTTTTATGTGGTGCTGAGGGTTGAACCTCACACATGCTAAGCAGACACTCTACCACTGAGCTACAACCCCAGCCCCTTGCCTTTTTCTTATATCTATTCCAAGGTATATGATAACGCATGCTGGAGAGGCACATGTATTACATTGACATTGAGAAGTGAAAACACTTCCTTTTCTGGGTCAAATCTCTCATCTTGGAGTGTAAGTCTTTTTCTATTCATAGTTTTAGTTTACTTATATTTTGAGGAAACTTTTCTATCTATAGCCAAAGAGACTTGTATACATTGCTATAATATATAGTATGATATTGACGATTATATATAGTATATGTATATGCATATATTTGTGTGTATATACTATGCAGGATACAGTAGAGTTTTGTATGTTAGTAGTATATATTGTATATAACTAGTTTAAATAATAATGTAACTAAACTGTATGAAATTAATATTCTAGTACATAGTATTTTACAGCTTCATAGTATTAACATCTTATCAATCTGCAGTAAAAAAGGAAAATAGTTTTCAAAATAATATGTACACTGTGGATTTTTCATAAAAACATGTGTTTAAACAGAAAAAATAAAGGCAGTGTATAATTTAACCTGTTTACAGTGGTTCTCTATGGGATATGAGACTGTGAATGATTTTGAATTTTTTCTATTAGTTTGCATTTTCTAAATTTTTATAAGTGGGTTTTT